CAACTATTGGGAGTGGCAGGGCAGGGACACTGACCACTCTCTTCTACCACCCCTATATAAAGATGCTGCCCTAGAAGGTGGGCCACCTGGGTACTCTACCAACGCCACCATGAGCTATGAACAATGAACTGGCCTGAGCCAGCCAGAACTATGAGCACATGCACATGCATACAGCCAGGCATAGCCCCCAGAGCTACATGGCGCTCAGAGGGCCTCGTGCAGCGGGTCACAGTGAGGTCAAGAGCGGTGAGGACAGGCTAGTCGGCTGAGACTTGGAAAGAGGGTTAGGATGGGCTTAGAGCTACAGAGGCAGTGATGTTGGGGGCAGAGCCTGAGACGAAGGATGAGGGGATGTGGGGACAAGTTGCAGAGACAGAAGAACAGCGGAGGGCATGAACAAGGCTGTGGCTGAGGGGACCAGGGAATGGGGAAGAGCTGAAGTCTGAGGCTGGTGAGCTGGATGGCGGATGGGCATGGGATTACATGACAGGAACAGGATGCAGAAAGCCAGGAAAACAAGCTGAAGTCTTAAGTCCTGGGGACAGGAATTGGGGCCAGGCATGGAGGTGATGGGTGAGGCTGGGTAAGAATCAGAGATGGTGTGCAGTGAAGGACAGGTCTGGAGCCAAGCCTAGCTGGGCAGGGGAACCACTGGACGGAGGAGACTCAGGTCGTTGGTTGGGGCTCCTGGGTGCGATCTGGGTGCACTCACATCAATGGAGCAGCCCAGCAGGGAGCCTCGCTCCAGCGCCTTGAGGATGATGTGGTAGAGGTCACTGGGGGCTTTGCGCAGCTCGTACCATTCGGTGACCCCGCCTGTGAAGTCCTCAAAGCCCTCTGATGTGCTGCCCCCTGACAGGGCCTCATAGCTGCCATTTACCCTGCAGGTATCAACAGGTCAGACTCTGGTCCGGAAAGGAGGCCCCTGCACCCCTGGGTGGCCTGGAACTGCCCCCGGGGCCCCTACTCACTTGGCATAGGCCTTCTCAAGCAGGGCACTCCAGAACTCGTTGCCTTGGGCAGAGTGCACGAACACCAGCTTCCCGTCCTTAATGGGCAGCAGATCATCCACGACCACGTCCACCCACTCCCCAAACTGCCACAGCTGGGGGTGTGGGGGAGCATAGTGAGTACCTGCTCTGGGATCCCCCCGGCCTGAGCTCTGCCACTTACTAGATACCTGATCAGGTACCCTAGCTACGCGATGCTGACCAGGGAGCGGCTCTGAGCTTCGGTTTCCCTATCCATAAAAGGTAACAGCAATACTTTCCTTGTGGGAAAGCTCAACAAGATCACAAAAGTATCGCTTTTAGGGCAGCACTTCCGGTATTCTGGGAACAGACCAAGGTGCCTCCTCAGGTGTGGAGAGGTTGGAAAGCCCTCGGTAGTGGCTCTCCAGGAACCAGCCCCCTTTTCAGCCACGCTGCTACCTCTCCGCTCCCTATTCTAGGCCAGGGTGTGCGTGGAGCAGGTGTGGTGGCATTGGGGATACACGTGTAAAGAAAATGCGGCATCCAGACCCTTCAGCTACAGGATGAGTAGGGATCCGATCTGATCGGATCCCCGCCCCCGCAATCACTCGTGCGGTTCGCTTCAGATGCCAGGAGGGGCAGGTTTCCCAGGTTGGGAGGAGTCGGGCGCCTGGGGACAGAAGCGACCAAGTGTGATGCTGCGGAGGGGTGAAAAACAACGGGCAAGGGGTGGGGGCCCAAGGAGGGGGGGGAAGGGCACCGATGCCACGACCCTGCGGACCAGCGAAGGCAGGTGCAGCTTTTGGGCAAAGTAGATGGCACAGCGGATCCTGCAGGGTATCTCTTGGGCACCAAGGCAGGGATAGCCTAGGGTAAGGGGTTCCTTGACTAGGAGGAAAGAAACAACACCCAGGAGGTCCTGGGGCAGGGTTGGGGCCACCAGGGACAGAGAGTCTCATCCAGGGTTGCTGGGGGTGTCTCTCTCCCAACACCAGCTAAGAATTCACCAGTGTGACTTGAAAAATAAGTTCTGCGCAAAAACATCAATAAAAGTTTGTTTAAATAGACTTAATCCCCAACTTTTCTTTTCTGCAGGGCTGTCAGCAGCTGGAGGCTGCCAACTGGCAGGAGGAGTTGGGGTGGATGGGGAGACTGCCGCCCTGGGTGGAGATGCCACATGTTTTCCCAGAGGAACACTCCTTATTTTTCAGATGGGGAAACTAAGACCCTGGAGAGGAAAAGGATTTGTCCTACAGAATATAGCAGAGATCTTTCTACTCTTCCAAGCGCTTTCTCCCCAATATGCACAACCACCCAGGAAAGTTGCCAGCGGAAATACCTGCCCAGTCGTTTCACACACGGCAGACCTGAGATGGCACCAAGAGGTCAGATACTTTCCAGAGGGAGGGCTGGCCCTGCAGGCATGGCCCTGAGGCACCCTCACTTCAGAACGCCACAGGTCATCAGTCCTCACCTCCTCCAGCACCTGCTCCCCCATCCCCCAGCCCCAGGAGGGGGCAGGACTCCTCACCTGGAAATGGAAGATGCCGGCATATCCATCCTGGAAACTTTGGCCATGCGGAACCACTCGGTGCAGGAGGTTGTCATTGAGAGTGAGGGAGGCGATGGCAGCCAGGAGCCAACAGTCCCCTGAGATGGGAGGGACCCACGTCAGGCCTCCCAGTGTATACATAAGTGCCCACGCTGGGGAGAACTTGGGGTTCCCTGGGTGGGGTGCCCTCAACTTATAGAAAAGACCCAGGAATCTGGGCAAACCAGCTCCAGCACTGATAGCAAGAACCTGCCTGGGCCTGCAGGACAGAGGGGGTGGGGCAGAGCCAGAAGGAACATGCATGGGGAATGTCTATAGAAAAGAACCCCCAGAACCCCTCAGGGCCTACCCAGTGCTCCCTGGCAGATGTCTGTGCGAGTGGCTCCATCCACGATGAACTGGGGGTTTGAGAGCAGCTCCTGCAAGAGACCCAGAGTCCTGTCTCTGGGCCAACCCCTCCCTGAAACTGGAACCCAGCCACCCCAGACCCTGCTCCCCACTAGGGACCTAGAGTCTTGTTCCCACTCATCACCCACGATGGGCATAAAACAAGTCCCACCCTGGGTGGTCACTCTCACCATGGGACGCTTCCATTTGATGCCATAGGTTTTGGAGGAGTTGGGGCCTAGATCCTTGTAGCCCAGGCTCTGGGGCACTGGGGGGAAGGCCTCATCACGGAAGAGGGCCCCACTCTGCAAGCACTGAGCCCGTAGCTGCTCATAATCCTGGCCCAGGTACTTGATGGCATTTTCATGGCGGCCCAGGCCAAGCTCCTTGGCCTGCTGCTTCTGCACTTGTGCAGACACCCCAGTGCAGTACACGGGGGTGATGATCTCCTCAGCCATCCTGGGGGACAGACAGGCCTGCTCAGAACCCAGACCTTTTCAGGGCTAGAACTGGGGCCCTGCCTGCCCCTGCTCACCCTTCCTCCCCAAACCTGGATTTCCCCCACCTCACTGTTCAGCTCACAGAACCTGGAACTTTCTGCCACCTCCCTAATTTCCCAGAATCCAGAAGAGGGGCTCTCCAGCCCCCAGGCCTGCTGACCACCTTCTCCCTTCCCCCACACAATGCTTGCTACCACCTCCGCCTTCCCGGGCTTTTATTGTTCTGCACCTGCAGTCCTGTGGTCAGCCAGCCAGGTGGGGCAGGGCAGAGCCCGAAGATGATGGCCCAGGGAACCCGGAAGGTGGGAGACCGCAGGAAAGGCCTCTCTGACCTGTCTGCCTGCAGGTAAACCCCTCCCCAAACTAGCCAAGCCTCTGTGCACCAGCCCCGTTTCCTTGGCATGGGGGCTGAGAACCCCAGGCATTTGGGGTCTCGCTCCTCAGGCCTCTGAGACAGGCTGGGTGCTCAGGGCCGCCGGGCCTCCGTCCCTTCCCCTCCCGCCTTCCCCCGGCCCAGCCCCCGAGACGGTGGTGAGCGCAGGCTGGGGTGGCGCCAAGCCTGTGCGGCGTCCCGAGCCCCCGCCCCTGTCCCGGGCATTCAGACGGCCCGGGGTCGGGGGATCGTAGCCGGGCCATCCAGCTCCTTACCTAGAGGAGCGTTTCGGGGGTCGCTAGGGCCCCTGCGGCTGGCTTCCCTGGCAGCAGCGCAAGGCCGGGCCCAACCAGGAAGAGCGCTCCTCCCGCCCTCCTCCCGCGGCCCCGCCGCCGCCCTGCCCCTCCGCCGCCTCCGGCACCTCGGGCTCCGACCCCGCTTCCTCTCTGCGTTCCCTTATCTTCCGGCACCTTCTCCGACTATCTCTCCTGCTCACGGGGTCTCCCCGCCCCTCCCTCCGCCAGCCCCGGGCCAACCCCGCAAGGGGACAAATTAGTCAAAGGCAGAGCTGTCCCCGGAGAGGGGCCAGCGCCTGTCGGGGTGGGAGGGCTGGGGCGGGAACCGGAGGGCGCCGAGGGGAGGGGAGGAGGGCAGAGGCGGGGCAGGGGTATTTTTAACCAGGGGCAGCTGCTCGAGTTGCAGGGCCGGCCGCCCCACCCCACGCGGCGCTCCCCGAGGGCATTCCCTGGCGCCCAGGCCGCTGCGGCGACGTCCCTGCAGCCCCGGACCGGTCCCCCTGGCGCCCGCCCTCCCCTGCTCCCAGCGCGGGGCCGAGATTACCTCGGGCTGCGGCAGCTGCTGCGGAGCGGCCGGGCTGCGGGCGGGTGGACCTCTGCCGGACGCTCGGCAGACGACAGCCCCACCCCGTGGGGCGCGCTCCGCGGCCCGGCTCCTGGGCAGGGCCCGCTCCCCGCCCCAACCCCCGCCCCCGGGCGCAGGCTCCGGCAGAACGGGGAGCCCGCCCCCGGGCCCCGGCTCGCTGCGTGACCTTGGGTGAGTGCCGGTCGTCCCTCTCGGCCTCGGTTTGCAGGCGGCGCAGCGGACGGGATGGAGGTGAACTGTGGGAGTCCATCCTTCTCCCGCACGCTGTGGTTTCTTGAAGCCGGGGAGGTGGGCTTCCCTGCCCTCTCCTCCAAGCCCCGGGCCCACCCACCCGGGAGCGCCCGTGTGCCGCCTTTGCCAGGAGGGGGCGACAGAGGCTGCGAGCAGGTCGGCAGGCCCGCCCAGCACCCGCAGATTTGCCTGTGGAGCTGCAGTAAGTTGGAGAGTCAAAATGTCACAGGGAAGGGGACTGCCACAGACTGCTCAGAGCGTCTCACTGACCGTGGGCCCAGCCCAGCAGCTGTTGCTCTTTTACAAGATACATACACCCGCATTTTGTTGGGGGAACAGTGCATAGCTTTCCTTTCCTAGGATTCTGGGACACGTGACCCCAAGAAGGTTAGGAGCCACTAATCTAATCTGACCTCACTCTCACTCCCAGTTTACAGATGAGGAACGCGGAGGCCTGTGAGGGTGTGACTCGCTGAGCTCCCTCTTCTACTGATTCAGAGCTGGAACCAGCGCCTGGGCTCTTTGCTCTTCACCATTCAGCATTTATGTGTCCTTTTCTTGACTAAACCCTTCTGGTAGGTCGTTGCACAGCAGACACCATGACTAAGACCAGCCCCTACTTGGGGAAACCCCCTCCTTCCCCCTACAGTTTTGAGGATTAAGGAAGTTGAGTCCTGATGGACAAGTTAACTAAGCAATAACATTCTGGAGAGGCTGTTTCTAGCAGAAAAGAAGAGCATGTGCAAAGGTCTAGAGGCTGGAGAAATACATGTCAGTGAGAGAAACTGCAAGTGTTCCTTGTGACTAGATGAAGGGAGCAGGGGCCGGGGAGAGAAAAGATGCTCTGGAGAGACACTCTCCAAGAGCACCATCCCTCAAAGCACTCTGGCTCAACCTCTGTGTCCCACAGTCCCCAGAATCACTTCCACAAACCTGTCACTCCTATCCACTGACCACCTCCTATATGTGCAGGGTGCTGTTCACCTGGGTATAAGATGGTGAAGACCCACAGCATTGGCCCCCTCTGAAGGAGGCAGACATCAACCCAGTTATTGCACCCGTAATTAACTTGGACGAATTGGTGCTAAGGAAGTGCATAACTGAAGCCCTACTAGTTCAGGGGTTAGAGTAGCTATTGATCAGACAAAATGAATTATGGCAGGGGTAGGGGAGATGACAGGAGCATTGGAACATGCAGGTCATGGCACAGTGCAGGAACTGAAGTATGCTTAGGTTGCTTGAAAAAGAGAAGGAAGGGTTATGGCAGGACTGGGTGGGGCATAGGAGTTTATATTTTATTCTACTTGACTAGAAGGCTGCTCAGGTTTGTACAAATGAAGGAGGCAGCAGGAGAGTGTTAGAGGGGGCAAAACAGGGGGCAGGGAGGAGTCCAGATAAAAAGCAAGGAGGAAGGCCTCTGGTTCAAGCCAGGAATGTGGTAGGCACAAGAGAGAAGTGGATGGATTTGATAACTATTAGGATACATCTTATCAAAATTTAACTCAGACTGGCTAAATATAAACCCTAAAACTATAAAACTTCTAGAAGAATGCATAGGAAAAAATCTTAATGATCTTGGGTTTGACAAAGATTTCTTAATGTGCCACAAGCACAAACAATAAAAGGAAAAATTAAATTTAACTTCATCAAAACATTCGTTCTTCAAAAGTCACTATTACAAGAATGAAAAGACACAGACTAAGAGGAAATAATTATAAAAATTGCATGTGATGAAGCACTTGTATTTAAATTGTAAATAGAACTACAACTTTAAAAATAATCCAGTAAAATTGGACAAAATATCTGAAACAGACATTTCACCCAAGAGGATATATAGTCGGCAAATAAGACATGAAAAAGTGTTGAACACATTATCCACCTGGGGAAATGCAAATTCAAACAAGCAGAAGGACTCCACAGTATAAAGAAGGACCCCACTAAGTGCTGGCAAGGACGCAGAAAAGCCAGAATTCTCGTGCTGCTGGTGGGAATTCAGAATGATACCACTGCTTTGGAAAACAGTTCCACAGTTTCTCAAAAAGTCAAACATATATTCATTGATAAATAGAAATGAGCTATCAAGCTACAGAAAGATGGCAGAACCTCAAATGCCTACTGCTAAGTAAAAGAAGCTAATATGAGAAAACAACATGTGTATAATTCCAACTACATGACATTCTGGAAAAGGCAAAATGAGAGAGAATGAAAAAGATCAGTGAGGAGGGGAGTAATGAAGAGGTGGAGCGCGGGCCATTTTTAGGGCACTAAAACTACTCCGTATGACACTGTAATGGTAGATACATGACAATGGACATTTGTGGAAACCCACAGAATATACAAAGCTAAGAGTGAACCCTAATGCAGACCAATGCACTTGAGTTAATAATAGTGTATCAATATTGGTTCAGGAATTGTAATACGTGAACCACACTGTTGCAAAATGTTAACAATGGGAGAAATTGGGGGGTGAGGGTAGAGAAAGGGTGTATGGGAATTCTCTATACTTTTTTTTTTTTGCTATCATTAATGTACAATTACATGAACAACATTATGGTTACTAGACTCCCCCTATTATCAAGTCCCCACCACATACCCCATTACAGTCACTGTCCATCAGCGTAGTAAGATGCTATAGAATCACTACTTGTCTTCTCTGTGTTATACTGCCTTCCCCGTGTCCCCTCCCTGCCCACATTATACATGCTAATCATAATGCCCCTTTTTCCCCCTAATCCCTCCCTTCCCACCCATCCTCCCCAATCCCTTTCCTTTTGGTAATTCTTAGTCCATTCTTGGATTCTGTGAATCTGCTGCTGTTTTGTTCCTTCAGTTTTTGCTCTGTTCTTATACTCCACAGATGAGTGAAATCATTTGGTACTTGTCTTTCTCTGCCTGGCTTATTTCACTGAGCATAATACCCTCTAGCTCCATCCATGTTGTTGCAAATGGTAGGATTTGTTTTCTTCTTATGGCTGAATAATATTCCATTGTGTATATGTACCACATCTTCTTTATCCATTCATCTACTGATAGACACTTAGGTTGTTTCCATTTTTTGGCTATTGTAAATAGTGCTGCGATAAACATAGGGGTGCATCTGTCTTTTTCAAACTGGGCTCCTGCATTCTTAGGGTAAGTTTCTAGGAGTGGAATTCCCAGGTCAAATGGTATTTCTCTCTGTACTTTCTGAGCAATTTTTCTGTAAACCTAAAACTACTCTAAGAAATTGTCTATCTTAAAAAAATAAGAAAAAAAAAAACATATACCTACCATGTGACCAGCCATTTCACTCTGAGGCATTTATCCAAGAAATAAAAATGTATGTCCACACAAAGACTTGTGAATATTCATAGCAATTTTAATTGTAATCATCAAAACTTAAAACAACCAACTGTTCATCAACAAATTGTGGTGTGTACACATACACACACACACAAATATGTGCTATGGAATACTACTCAGCAATAAACAGGAACAATGGATGAATCTCAGAATATCATACTGGGTGTAAGAAGCCAGACAAGAGTACACACTATATAATTTCACTTACATGAAAAGGCTGGAAAAAGGATGCCAAATTAGTGACAGAAAGCAGATCAGTGGTTGCCTGGGGTTGGCAGTGGGGGAGCTGATGGGAAAGGGGCTTGAAGAAACATTTTGGGGTGATGGACATGTTCATTATCTTGTTTTTTTTTTATAATTCGATATTAGTGCTTTACTTACTCCTACAAGTTTATTGTACAAGTTGCAGCTCAGGAGCAGCCAAACCGAAGAGACGCATGGGCAACGGATAGGAGGGAGAGGTAGAACGCCCAGCCACGCTCCCAGCACATCTCTGTTCACCGACCCAGAAACTCTGCAAATGTCCAGCTCCCCTCTGCTCCCTAAGATGTAGAGGAGAGCTGTAAGGTCCCACTGTTTAGATTACGCTAGTGACCAGCCCCCACCCTGTGTCACTCATTAGCATAAATACCGATGTGGGCCAGAGGGGCTAGTTAAGAATGACAAGACACTCCTCCTATCACTTAGGAAATCCCAACGGTTTGTCTGGAACCTGGGACAAAAAACAGATTCAGATATATACTTTTTATTACAGCACATTTGGTTATGTATGCTCAGATTCTTTCTCTGAAAGGACATTACTTTCATTGCTTCCAAGGAGGGGAACCAGGTGGCTGGGATGTGACTCTTCGTTCAAAATTCAGAATGTCCATGTAAAAACAGCATTTGACTCACAGACACTTGAGAAGTGACTAGTGGTTACCAAGGGGGAGGGAAGTGGGGGGTAGAAGGGGAAGGGGACTGATGAACCACTGTAATGTACATTTGATTTTTTTTTAAGTCCCTATAAATATATTACCTACTTGCAGTCTTTGGCTTGGTTTTTAATGTCCCCAGTCTCCAGGCTTTCATTTTCCCACCATGTTTCTTAGGAGCCACTCACAGCTCCCTGCCACCTGGCCTTTGTGGACTTCTCCATCTTCTCCCCAACTCGCCCTGCCCTCTGGCCTTTGTACAAGCAGCAGTTCCTTCTACTAGCAGTTCACATTGGAGCTCAATTCTTGAGACTCAGTTCTAAACCCTTCTAGGATTAACTCTTTCAAATCCCACAACAGCCATTTTACTATGATACCCACTGTACAGATGAGACAATGGAGATTAAACAACATGCTAAGGTCACACAGGAACCTGGGATTTGAACTTAAGCTGTCTGGCTCTCCAGACTGAGCCTTAACCATTACTCCAGACTGTCTTTCCCAGAACATCCTTACTCACAACCCCCAGCCCCACTCCACCATGGGCAAACCTGACATAGTTCAAGGCCCAGATTAAATGTCACCTCCTCTGGAAAGCCTTCCCTGCTCCCTCATTAATAAACTTACTTTTTCTTTGGGGTGGGGAGGTATTGAATTCTAAAAATTAAATTATATCAATTGCAGCCCAAGGCAAGGAGAAAATCTTATTCCTAAAGAGACCTGGTCCTGCAGGCACGTCTAGACTGATTATAAGGCTGTTTTCCATTGAGCTTTTTTGTCCAATAGGTTCCAGGTCCTCTTCTAAGGGCTGCATATACTTCATCTCATTCCATCCCAACTGTGCTGTGTAGACCTCATCAGCCATAGGTGATGTTATAGAGGGGAAACTGAGGCTTAGAACAACTGACCACTGATGGGAAAGGGAAGAGATATTACAGAGCCTGTGCACAGGGTCTCCACTGGTACCTACACCTGGCAGACCCCCTCTCCACAACTCCCTCCCTACCCTCACCCTGGGTCAAGGAGCCAGGTCAGGGCCTAAGCGCAGTTGCTATCCTGTAGACACGGTTTATTAGAAAGGGTCGGGGTCAGAGTGGGTACAAGGTACAGGTTGGGAGGAGGGTGCAGGGGCCATGGGCAGCCATGCCATCCTGAAGCCAGTGAGACGTGGAGGCCAGCGGGGGGTGGCTGGGGGGAGCCGCAGCAGGGAGAGCTTTGGGTCAGCAGGCAAGCGGGCAGGTGCTCTTCACCCTAAGGTGTCAGAGCCTCGGGTGTGGCCAAGGCTTTGGGAAGACTGGGGGAGGAAGGTCAGAGAGACCCAGAGACCTGCAAGCACACATGGCTAGGAGGTGGCAGAGCTGGGACTTGTGCCCAAGCCTGCTGGACCCCAGGCCCCGGGGCCCTCCTTCCCATTCTGTTGGGCCCCACACCTGCCTCCCAAGCTCCTGTCCCCAACTCACTGTGTAAGGTTTAGGTGCCTGGCTCCAGCTGCAGCTCTGGGGACAGGATGATGAGGAAGTCCCCACCCCAGGGGTCCTCAGCCACTGAGAGACAAGCTTGGGAGGGAAGGTGCTGCCCCTCAGTGTTTGGGGGAGGGCACTTAGATAGGACAGTCAGGGGGTGGGGATGGTGGCAGCAGTGGCTATGGGGAGAGGGCAAGGCACAGAGGGAACAAAGGCCGGGGCCCCAGGGTAGGGGGACCAGGGCCTTTGGGCAGCTCCTCTGAGCCCCTCCATGGTGGGGGCGCCGTTCCCGAGTCCAAGCCCAGTGGGATGGCTCCTTGGCCATGACCTGACATGAGTAAAGTGGATGGTAAATGGGGGTGAGAGGTCCAGCCTCTTTCCCCCACCCCAGGATGCTGGCCAGTGGGCAGGGCCTTACCTCCTCACAGCACTGGCGGCTCACCACAGCCCGGAAGCCCATCCGTGCCCACAGTTTGTCCCTCTGATGCAGGAAGTCCACCACCTGATGACGCCAATCTTTGCCCAGGGCCCATGGGAAAATCACACATTTGGGGTCCTCCAGGTCCTCCTCCATATCATTTGCAAGGTACCTGGACAGAGGTAGGAAGGCAGGAGACAGACGCCATGAGCATCTGCCCTGCCCCATCCTATAGCTGAGCAACTGTCTCCACCACCCGCACTGGCCACTCACAGTGCCAAAAATAAATTGCTGCGGGTGTACTCGCTGAGCTTCAGGTTGGCGCGCCGGAAGTAGACCAGCACCATGGCCAGGAGATACTGCAGACATGACAGGGCGGGGAGGTTAGTTAGGCAGGGTGGGTGGGGCCAGGCCCATTTGCACCCAAGAAAATTCTGGTGGGGTTCGAAAAACTGGGGTGCAGTGGTGAGAAGCAGCCTGCAAAGACAAGGGTTTAAAAGGGAGGTGCTCTCTCCACCAGACCAGGGCATCCAGTGAATTAGCAGCACTCATGCCCCGTTAATGCAACCTGCCCCAGGTGACCCCCCACCTCCACCCTCACTGTGCCCCCTCACCTTATCTGAAATCTGAAAACAGGGATCTTTGGAGAGGAATTCCTGGAGCAAACTGTGCTCTGGGGGTAGAGGAGAAACTGGGGTTACACTAACTCCCAAGAAAAGAGTAACATCAGAAGCTCCAAAGCCTGAGCCTTCCCTGAACCCACTTTCTGACATGACCCACCCCTCAGCCTGCCAAAGTGGAGTCACCTGAGAAAGGAAGGGACAGAGCCTGCAGGGCAGGTTGAGATCCCACCTCTCGCATCTGCTCCACACATGGTCCTCACAGCCTCCCCCACCAGGCCAGCTCCACGGTGACTCACCTAGCAGGCTGAGGAAGACCTGGAGCTCCTGGTACTGGCAGGAATGCAGAGACCCGCCACCCCCACCTTGACGGCTCCAGCCTCCCAGCTTCACCTGGGCGGCAGCCACAGGGACCATGACAGGGTCTGGGGCATCACTCATCTCATAAGGGGTGGGGTGGGGCAGGGTGACCTGTAGAGAAGGCAGCGACAAACTTAGCATCTACCCCCTTGCCCCCACAAGTCAAGGGGGTTGGTGAGGCTGGCGGGACAGAGAACCTTCAGAGGCCATGGGGACCCGGGGGGCTCTGAACAGAGGAAGCTGGGACCTGTGTTGGGTGGGAAGGCCAGAACTGCAGCAGAGCTCCCCGGGGCTGCAGCTACCCCATCCCGCCTGGAGCCCAAGAGCAAGAACAGCAGCAGCAGCAGCAGACGCCGCTCAGGGCCTCCTAAGTGCCTGGAGCTTTGCTAAATGCTCTAAGAGCATGGTCGCCTGTCATCCCGGTAGGTAGCTAGGTGTAACAGAAGACCCATTTTGCAAAAGCAGAAACCGAAGCTGAAAGTCTCAAGGCTGGTTAAAGGTGGTGCCTGTCTGCCCCTTAGAGCTAAGGGGTTTGCTGCTCCTCTTGACCCCCAACTCACAACCAACCCCTCACCCTGCACCAAAGTGGCAGACTTGAAAGGACACCAACTCCGTACCTCCCGGGGGTGAAACTGAGGCCCAGATAAGGGAATGCTATTAGACAAATACCTGGATTTAAAGAAAGTTGAGATGGGGCCACCTCAAACACTTCAAGCTAGGGAGAGAGAGAAGCCAACTAAGAGGCTCAGGAGAAGTTGCCGCCACCACCGTGGCCAGCCTGGGACCCTCCATCTAGGCTCCAACAAGCAGCGCAGCATCCTGCCCCAACCGACTTTACCTCAGCTCAGGGATCACCCGCAGCATAACTCTCGACCCCTGCGAGAGCATTTATATAGCCCAATGCCGCCCCACCCCACGGCCCCCCACCAATCAGGCCCCTTCCTGGGGCAGGAGGCGGGGCTCCGGGTCATCACCGTCCACCACTGCGGGGCGTGAACCCAGTCTCCACCCCTCGCCTCCCAGCTGGAGCTCCGCAGAGTAAAAGCTTCTCCCCTGACCGGAGGGCTGAAGGCACGCCGGCCAAGGATGCCCTCCGCGCTTTTTTTATAAATATGGAGTCAAGGTACAGGGCGGGGAAATGAAGCCTGGGCTTTGGCGAGTGGCTGATAGGTAAGTGATAATTCGCTGATTGTGCGTTTCGGGGCAGGATGTGTCTATGTTTCAGATCCAGGCATCCCAAAACCTGGATCCGGCGATGAGATTGTCTCGGCATGAGAATTCCCAGAGGCCACATCCCCCTCCCAAGATGCTTTAGGGGTGGGGGACCCTGGCCAGTGGCTCTTCGGTGGGAGAGGCGGCCTTTCCCCAGGACCACCGAACCCTCCAAACCAGCAGACCGCAAGCTTTTTCATCTGCACGTTTACTCTCTCTACAGTCCTATGAAGTCAGCACCTGCATTACTTTGCACATTTGGCAAGTTACTTTTCCCAGTTTTTGTTGTTGTTGTTGTAAAATAAATATATTACAGAAAATACTGGAAAAACCTGGACTGGATCACTGACAGAAGAACCAAGCGGCACTTGGAGGTCATGGAGTGTTGAGGTTTATTTTACACTGGCGGGCTCAGAAGGGTGTAATCTCCCAAGGGGAGCAATATATATCTTTCTGCTTCTGTATCTGCAACATTCCTACGTGCACAGCAAGCGAGCAAGCAAGGGGGAGTGAGTTTAGGGAGTGAGGTTAGGGAGTAGTGCCTAGCAGAGTGGGGAGTGAAGGGGAAGGGGAAAAAACGGGAATTTCTGCTGTCTTTGGTAACTAGAGAAGAGAAGGGAGCCGGGACCCACCTGGACTAAATTGCTGTCCTTGTAAATATTTCCCTATCATACATAACATAAAATTTACTACCTTAACCATTTTTAGGTTCAGTGGTTTTAAGTACATTCACATTGTTGTACACCTATCCCCACCAACCATCTCCAGAGCTCTTCATCTTGCAAAACTGGAGCTCTGGACTGAGGAGGATGGGTGGGAAGGGATGGATAAGGGCGGGAAAAAAGAAAGGGGGCTTTAGGATTAGCATGTGTAATGGGGGGGGCACGGGGAGGGCTGTGCAACACAGAGAAGACAAGTAGTGAGTGATTCTACAGCATCTTACTACGCTGATGGACAGTGACTGTAATGGGGTTTGTGGGGGGGACTTGGTGAAGGGGGGAGCCTAGTAAACATAATGTTCTTCATGTAATTGTAGATTAATGATCCCAAAAAATTAGAAAGTAATAAAAAAACTGGAGCTCTGTCCCCATTAAACACTTATTCCCCATCCTCCCCTCCCCCAGTCCCTGGCAACCCCATTCTACTTTCTGTCTCTATAAATTTGACTACCTAGGTATCTCATATGAGTGGAATCATGCAGTATTTGTCTTTTTGTGACTGGCTTATGTAACTTACAATGTCCTCAAGGCTCATCCATGCTGTGGAATGTGTCAGAATTTCCTTCCTTTTTAAGGCTGCATAATATTCCATTCTGTGTGTGTACCACATTTTGCTTATTCATTTAGCCATTGATGGACACTTAGGTTGTTTCCATTTCTTGACTATTTTGAGTAATGCTGCTATGAACATGTGTGTCCAAATATCTTAAGATCCCACTTTCAATTATTTGGGGTATATACCTAGAAGTGAATTGCTGGACCATAAGGGAATTCTATCTTTAATTTTTTGAGTAAACATCAAATTGTTGTCCACAGCAATTGCATCATTTCACATTCCCATAAACAGCAAAAGGATTCTAATGCCTCCACGTTCTTGTCAACACTTATTATTATCTGGTTCATTGACAGTAGCCATCCTAATGAGTAAGGGGTAGTGACAGAAGACTTTTAAAATACGTATTAATAAAAATGGAGGCCCAGAAAGAAGTTGAAGCACTTCTGTTCTGGTGACAACAGAAGTGGGCTCAGATCACAATGTGTTTGGCTTAGTGAAGTGGGTTTTATTGTTCTCAGCACCATTTTTCAGATGGGAAACAGGTTCAGGGGCCCAGCTTCCTGATATTTGAATGAAAGATGAAGGAAATGTGGGCTGACAGGTGGGTGATGGGCACAGGGTGAGGTTTGGAGCCAGGCTCCCAGACCCCAGCTGCAGGCTCTCTCAGGCACAGCGGCTGGACATGTAGCACCCATCCCTGCTTTGCTTCCCGACTTGGGCTTTGACCCTGCTGCTAGTGTGGGTGTTCACTCCTAGGTTGCCCCTCCTTTTCTGTGTCTCTGTCTCTCTGTGGCCCTCAGTTTCTCTGGGTCCCTGGGTCTCCCTGGAGTCTGGGTCTCTGGATGTCTTGGTCTCTGGGTCACCTGATCTTTCAGTCTGGTCTGAGCCTTTCCTTTGCTCGGATCTTGTTTTCTCTGTCTCTAGTCTCTTGGGGCTCATGGCCTTCCCGTGGCCAGCTTCCAGCCTCCCTGAGGCCAGCAAAGCCTTCCCTGACTACCTGGGCTCCATCAGCCAACCCTGCTGTGTAGGTGGGGGGGGATGTCGGGGGTCCCCTCATGTATTTGCCAGCTTCCTCCAGGAAGGAAAGTCCAGAACCCAGTGGCCTCACAGCAAGCCCCCTGATCATGTCACTGGAGGAGCTACAATCGAATGACTTCCGTGTTCCTCATAGCCCCATGAAGTAGGTTCTATTAGTGGCCTCATTTTACAAATGAAAACAACAATGACTAGAACACAGAGTTTGGGTTGTTTCCAAGAGGTTTAAGTAACTTACCACCAGCCACACAGCTAGCAAGAGGAGAGCCATGTTCCAAGCCAGCTACCTGGCCCAGGCCCCATACCGGAGCAAAGCTGCAGGCATGGCAGTCTGGTCCTGTGCTGTTTCTGGACAGAGCCTGACACACAGAGGTGTTCAGGAAAACTGAATGAATCCCCCAGACCAGCTATGTTTACAACCTCTCTCCCTACCCCCCTGCCCCGTCTCCACCAGGTGGTACAAAAAGAAACCTGGGAGTGGGCTAATCACCTAACATGGGTGGGCTCGGGCCCTTTCCCCTCAGTGACAGCCTTGAGCATCTGACGCTGCACACTGGGGAGAATTTTTTTTACTTTTTATTTTGAAAGCCCTGAAGCTCACACAGATGTTGCTAAACATGCATGGAAAGTTGCTGTGTCCCCTTCACCCAGTCTACCCCAAAGGTAACATCTTACAGACCATAGTACAGTTAGAACCAGAAGCTGACACTGGTGCACCCAAGCTACAGACCTTCTTCAGATGACATCAGGTGATACAAGCACTCACTTAAAAAAATTTTTGTTGGTGCCTAGTTATGTAAATGTCATCCTATGCACAGATCGGTGTGTCCACCACCTCAACCAAGGTACACCAGCTCCAGCACTTGAAGGAAGGCCCTCAGGGTATCCCTTCAGCATCATACCCTCCTCCCACCCATGCCTCTGGAGCCATTCATCTCTTCTCCATCGCTATTAATTTTGCCAAGTTAACACTATTATATGAGTGGATTTGTACAGTATGTGACCTGAAACTGGCTTTTTTACTCAGCATGATGCCCTTGAGATCCATCCAGGTTGTTGCACGTACCAATAGTTCATTCCTCTTCTTTACCAAGTGTTTTTATTACCGAGGAGCGCTCCCTGGCATGGGATGTCTTGTTTCCAGTACGGGCTCCTGCAAATAGAGCTGCTATGAACGTTTGTGTGCAGGTTTTTACCTAGACACAAGTTCTTACTTCTCTAGGATAAAGACCTAGGAGGAGGCATGTGGTAAATGCATGTTTAACTTTAGAAGAGACTGCCAAACTTTTCCAGAGCGGCTATTACAGTATTGTCAGTTTTCTTGATTAGTCATTGTACTAGTCAGAGTGGCTTTAATTTTCCTAATGGCTAATGATATTGAACATCTTTTCATGTGCTTATCTTCTGTTGTGGGTTGAATTATTTCCCCAAAAGCTATGTTGAAGTCATTCTCCTCCCCCACCCCCGCACCTGCCCACTTACCTGTAAATGTGATGTTATCTGGAAATAAGGTCTTTGCAGATGTAATCAAGTTAAGACATGATCATACTCAGGGTGAGTCTCAATTCAATATGACTAGTGTCCTTAGGAGGAGACACAGAGACAGACACATATAGAGAGAACTCCAGGTGAAGACATAGACATGCAGGGGGAAGACAGCCGTGTGATGATGGAAGCAGAGATACGAGTGCTGTAGCCGCAAGTCAAGGATTGCAGGCCCTCTCCAGAAGCAAAGCAAGAGAGCATGGCCCCACTAACAGCTTGATTTTGGACTTCCGGCCTCCAGAACTCTGAGACAGAAGCTGTCTGTTGTTTTAAGCCCCCCAGTTTGTGGCGCTTTGTTATATGGCAGCCTCAGGATGTTCATACGTTTTCCATCTATGCATCTCCTCCATGATGACGTGTCTGTTCCAAGTCTGTTGTCTCTTTTCTTACTATTTAGTTTAGGGCTTTCTTTATATACTCTAGATACAAGCCTTCATCAGATACACAATTTGCAAATATTTTCTCCCAAACTATAGTTCATCTTTTCATGCTCTTAACGTTGTCTTTCACAGGGCATGTCTTTGGTGGTGTGCAATTATCAAATTTTGGGGGGTTGGATTATAGGAAGGATTTCAAAGGCAGGGATTCTCCCATCTCTGAAGAAGTCCAGAAGCCCCAGAAAATGGACAAAAACCAGAGAGAAGAGAGAGGCAGCCAAGGGCAGGCCACTATAGAAGGAGCCAGAGACCTGGGGCTTCCAAGCTGTCTTGGCCAGATGTGCACGAGGCCACACTCGAGCAGACAGGCCTCGGCAGATGCTGGGTGGAGAAGCTGGCAATGGGCCTTGAGTGGGCAAGGCCAATGGGTTGCCATAGAGCATGGGTCCTGGAGGCAGAGGGCAGCCAGCTTTGCTGGCCTGGTTCTGGGCCTGCATATGCTCCCTGATTTGCTCCCTGAATTGTCTCATCTGTTCCTGTTCTGCTGGGATTAAATTCTTCCAGAGATACCAAAGGTCCCTCCCAGCCCTGACGCTCCTCCGAGTCCACACGGGGGCCTCCAGCTGCCTCCTGGACATCTCCATTTGCTTTCTCCAGCCAACTCAATATCTGCCGCCATGTACTGTTCCTTCCCCAGGTTCCCATCTACTTACCAAGAGCTGCTGAAAAATGACATAACACAAAACTGGGAGTCATTGTTTTTAAGTAAAGTTTTATTGCAGCATAGCAGCCACACAGGAAAGTGCACAGGCCAGACATCAGCAGCCAGATGATCCCTCAGAACACACCAGATGCAGACGTGCCGAGGGAAGACTGCCACGTGATGATGGAGCGCTGCTGCTGTAGCACCAAGTCAAGACGGAGCCCGTGACAAGAGGACCCTCAGGCTCCCTCGCAGGCTCTAGTCCTTCCCACCTCCTAAGGCTAATCACTATTCCTCACTCTCTCATCATAGTTTCTGTGGCCTGTTTTGAAACTTTATGTAAATAGGAACACGTAGTAGGTCTGCTTTTGGGTGGGATCCCATCATGCTGCTGCTTCATTCCCCTTGCTGACCAGTGTTCTCTTGGATGAGTATTTGGAAGCATTTCTACCTTCTTTCTTGACCCCAACATCCAATTCCCCACTAAATCTTGTGGATTCTAGCTCAGAAATATCTCCCTAATCTATGACCACCCCTCCTCCCCAATGCCTCCACCCTGGGCCAAGGGGGTGTCATCTCCTGCTTGATGACCTTAATGTGCCCCTAAACAGTCTCCCGACACCCTGGGCTCTTGACCCTCTAGAGCTTCAATGAACCTTTAAAAAAAAGTCCTTTTAACAAAACACAAACTCCTTAACTGGGCACTTACCTAATTACTATCTGCAGTCATCTTCCTGTTTATTCACTTCTCATGTGTTCCTCCCAGTGGGCACCGCCTTAAGAGCAGGGACGTTGTCACCCTGTCCATCCCCCAGGCCCCCCAGCCCTGCCCCAGCACCTACCGTGGAAGCATGTAGCTCACATCTGTTGGATGAATAAATGCCTTACAAGGCTCTGCATCATCTGCCCTCACTCACCTCTCCAGCCACATCCCTGGTCCTGCCCATCAGTTACTGCTCCCCAGCTAGACCAGCGTCTTACCTTCTTCTGTCACCCCTGCCTACTCCCACCCCCAACCCCCTTGCCTGAGGGCCTTCATACACGCCAGCCCCTCCCAATAGGACAAGGTGTCCTTCCTTCTGCAACAATTCTATTCTCTACCCCCAGTTATGCTTAACCATGTGGCTTGCTTCCACCAATGGAATTTGGGCACAAAAGGCTTATGCCACACCTGAGCAGAACCTTTAAGGGCTCCAAGGGTGCTCTGCCCTTGCCATGCCCTGGGCCTGGTGCCTCAGGTAGGAGCAGCCTCTGTAGTCTGGGGTCTGGAATAAAGAAGACCTGGAGCAAAGCCAAGCTGTATGGGGCATATAATACACACAGGAAATAAATGTTTGTTTTTGAAAGCCACTGAGATTTTGGAGTTGTTTTTGTATTGGATCTCTATTTATGACTGCAACAAATTACCACAAACTTAGTGGCTTAGTACAATACAAATCTATTATCTTATGGTTCTGGAGGTAAGAAGCCAAAATGGGTCTCACTCTGCCAAAATCACACTTTCAGCGAGGTATCACTCCTTGTGGGGCGCACCTGCATTCCTTGACTGGTGGCCACCTTTCTCCATCTTCAAAGACAACAGCAGAGCATCTTCAAATCTATGACTCTCACCACTCTTCTACTTTTAAGGACCCTCCTCATTACACTGGGCCCATGTGAACAATCCAGGATCATCTCTTCATCTCAGCACCCTTAATCACATCTGCGAAGCCCATTTTACTATAAGAGACATGTTCACAGGTTCAGGATTGGGATGTGGACACCTTTGAGACTTTATCACAGCATAATTTATATGCCAATTAATAGACTATTTACAAAATAGTATAAATTAGCACTGCATGCTCTTTATAAAAGATATACATAAATCAAGGATATAGAACAGAAAATCTAAACAGACCAATTACCAGCAACAAAATGGAATATGTAATTAAAAAAACTACCCAAGAACAAAACCCCTGGACATGGATTCACCACTGAATTTTATCAGACATTTAGAGAAGACATAATACCCATTCTCCTTAAAGTTTTCCAAAAAATAGAAGAGGAGGGAATACTTCCAAACTCATTCTATGAAGCCAACATCACTCTAATACCAAAACCAGGCAGACACCACACAAAAAAAAACTACAGACCAATATCCCTGATGAACACAGATGTAAAAATACTCAACAAAATATTAGCAAATCGAATTCAAAAATACATCAAGAGGATTATACACCATGATCAAGTGGGATTCATCCCAGGGATGCAAGGTTGGTACAGCATTCAAAAATCCATCAACATCCACCACATCAACAAAAAGAAGGACAAACACCACATGATCATCTCCATAGATGCTGAAAAAGCATTAAACAAAATTCAACATCCATTCATGATAAAAACTCTCAACAAAATGGGTATAGAGGACAAGTACCTCAACATAATAAAGGCCATATATGATAAACCCACAGCCAACATCATACTGAACAGCGAGAAGCTGAAAGCTGTACTGCTAAGATCGGGAACAAGACAAGGATTCCCACTCTTCCTGCTTTGACTCAACATGGTTCTGGAGGTCGTCCACAGCAATAAGACAACACAAAGAAATACAAGGCATCCAGATAGGTAAGGAAGAAGCCAAACTGTCACTGTTTGCAGATGACATGATATTGTACATAAAAAACCCTAAAGACTCCACTCCAAAACTACTAGAACCAATATCTGAATTCAGCAAAGTTGCAGGATACAAAATTAATACACAGAAATCTGTTGCATTCCTATGCACTAATGATGAACTAGCAGAAAGAGAAATCAGGAAAACAATTCCAATCACAATTGCATCAAAAAGAATAAATGCCTAGGAATAAACCTAACCAAGGAAGTGAAAGACCTATACCCTGAAAACTACGGGACACTCTTCAGAGAAATTAAAGAGGACACTAATAAATGAAAATTCATCCCATCCTCTTGGCTAGGAAGAATTAATATTGTCAAAATGGCCATCCTGCCTAAAGCAATCTACAGATTCAATGCAATCCCTATCAAAATACTGACAGCATTCTTCAATGAACTACAGCAAATAGGTCTAAAATTCATGTGGAATGACAAAAGACCCCAAATAGCCAAAGCAATCCTGAGAAGGAAGAATAAAGCAGGAGGAATTACGCTCCATGACTTTAAGCTCTACTACAAAGCCACAGTAATCAAGACAATTTGGTACTGGCAGAAGAGACCCATAGACCAGTGGAACAAAATAGAGAGTCCAGCTATTAACCCAAGCATATATGGTCAATTAATATATGAAAAAGGAGCCATGGATATACAGTGGGGGAAATGACAGCCTCTTCAACAGCTGGTGTTGGCAAAACTGGACAGCTACATGTAAGAGAATGAAACTGGATTATTGTCTAGTCTCATACACAAAAGTAAACTCAAAATGGATCAAAGACCTGAATGTAAGTCATGAAACCATAAAACTCTTAGAAAAAAATATAGGCAAAAATCTCTTGGACATAAACATGAGCAACTTCTTCATGAACATATCTTTCT